GCATCTGCATCCTTGCCCTGACCTGCTGGAAACAGAAGCATACATAGGAATTGCTTATTCCTGAATGCCTGCCCTCACTCTGGCACCTTCTCTAGTCCTAGTGGAAGGGATCATTAAAGACAAGTAATTGAAAAAGGATTAAGGTATTTAAACTCACTATCAGAAACATTTTGAAATGAGTAGGTGTAACACTTAACTGCACCAGCCTGTGCCCTGCATGAGTGATGGGTGCAGGAGAGGTGTAGCTGGGGGTACTCATGGGTATTGACTGTATCTACCATATATAGCAGTTCAGATTCCTCACAAAACCCTATAAGATAGGGCATCACGTGCCCCCTCTCAAAGCCAAGCAAGGTCACACAGCACAAGATACATAGGAAGGGACAGAACCAGGATTTGAGTCCAGGCCTGTCTGCTTTTGAAACCCGTTTTCTTAACTTTGCAGGTAAGAGAAAGTAAAAATTGCAGTACTACCAGATACCCATACCCTAGCTTAGCTAGTAAACCTTCAGAAATTTCAGCCACCAACATTTAGGGCATTTTCATATGTGTTTTCTTGTTTGTCAATTCATTAAATAAGCATTTATTGGATACTTAACTGTGTGGCAGGTACTAAAGCTTCATTCATTCATCACACATCCTTAATGAGTACCTACTATATGCCAATGCCTTAGCATTGCACTCATTCAATCAATACATGTTTATTGAGCACTTACTTTATGCTGAGATACCTCCTAGGCACTGGGGTGTAGTGGTGAATATAACAGACAAAATCCCCAACCCTCCTGCTCTCTTGCCTCCAGACATTGCATGGTTGATCTCATTCCCCCATTTTACAGCTGAGGAAAGAGACCTGAAGGCTCCAAGTGGTAAGTGTTAACTGAATGCAGTAGAACAGGAAACACTATTACACTGTATCACATCACAGGGCTGAGAGGAGGTTTCCACAGAAGGTGCTGCTGGCTGTAGGGTCAACTAACCTGGGGTTATAACCTCTGCCACTTCCACCTGCGTTTGCTGGCAGAAGTCACCATTGGCACCTCCCAGGGTTGCTATAGGGGTTATAAATGAGTGTGCCATTTGGCTCCGCAAGGGAGGAAGCCCATCAACTAATTCTCTCTTGTATCAATGGTACCCAGCTCAGTGCCTGGCACACAGTAGGTGCTCAGCTATGGGCAGCCCACTGTCTACCCCTTCATTAAATATGGGGACAGCCCAGCACCTGTGTGGCAGGATGTGCAGGGGTGCCCACTGGCTCCTCACAGCAGCAGGTGGGTGTGCCAGCTAGCCCTTCCATTTTGGTGAGACAAAGGGACAGATCACAGAACTGTCCAAGATTTTTCTGGAGTCTCTCCTTAGGGAATGGCAGTGCCCCCACCTAGCATTTATCCACACCTGTCTCCCAATGATTTGGAGAAGCTTCTATCCATCATCCCTCACCATGGCCAAGGCGCAGTGATAGCTTGATTACCAGCCATCCATCCATCATGCAATACCGACATAAAGGAGTTCATATCTGAGTCAAGACATCCCGTGAGGACAGTTAAAAAAAAAATGACCCTTCCAGGCCTCCGGACAAAGACAGAAGATGTGTTTGAAATGTCCAAGGCTGGACAGAAAAGGAGACGATCGTCCTGCTCAGGCAGTAGGGCCAGACCCTTGTCTTGAAGCCTGCAAGGAGAGTGTCTGGATGCAGAGTAAAGTTTGCAGTCTCCACCCAGAAGAGTGCAGGCCACAAACGCCATCCTCTGAGTGGTAACTAAGACAGGAAATAGAAAAAGACTGAGAAGTGGGTGGGTTTCTGAATAGTATCCCGGAAAGTGAATACTTACTTCCTTCCTTTTCCTTCCTCACTTCCCTTTGTCCCTTGCTTGAACCACCCCCCTTCCCAGCCCCAAAGAGCCTGTATACCATTTGTGTTGTGTTCCTGTTTCAAGCCCACCCACTGAGGTCCCAAAGGCCCCAGACCTTTCCAGAAAGATGGGACCCAGTTCACTCTCCTCACATCAGGTCCTTGGGCTCCTGGGCAGAGCTCCAGGGGTCACTCTTTGGCGGCAACCAGGCTGGGGCCAGGCTAAGCTGCTCTGGTTTGCACACCTGTGGGAGCACAGCTCTCAGTGGGGCCCCATGGCCTGGGCTTAGAGAGCCTGTGCCCTCTGCCCTGGACACCAGCACTCACAGGCTGGTGCCCCAGACCTCCACTTCTGGGTGCTGGTGACTCCACGTGCCCCCCCAGACTGTCAACCAACGATGTACGCAGGTCCTCAGCTGCCAGCCAGGCCCTGCCTGTGTCTGTGCCTTCCAGCCCCTGTCTTTGCCCTCACTGGCCTCTCCCTGCCCCGGGGCCCAACACCCCTGGTGCCTCTTCCTCACAACCTCCTGGTCTTGTTCCCACTTCAGCTTCTGTCCTCTTTGTCCTTCTCCCCACTTCCCCTTGCATCTGCTTCTCTCACTCCACCCGCTTCCTCTCCCTCATGGAGTTGATTCTCAACGTGGCTCCATTAGATCCAGCAACATACACTGAGCGTCTACTGTGCGCGGCCCAGCTGCCCCAGTCAGAGGGCAGGAACGCGAGCCGCCCCCAGCTCTCCTCCCTTACCCGGGCCGCACCTGGCACCACAGTGGGCACGGGAGGTGGAGCTGGGGGAGCAGCATGGCAGGGTATGGGAAGATCCGGAGACCAAGCCGGATGCTGCCACCATCCCCACATGGCGGGCGACGGCTGAGACCAAGCGACAGAGCGCACGAAACACATTCATCACGCCGCCTCCTTTCAGGGCAGAGACAGGACGGAAATGACTTTTGTCAGCTCTGAGCTGTTTATTGAAAAAATAAGAAAAGAAAGGAGTGCGAATGCCATCTTCCCCTGGATTAGGGCAGCGCTTCCAAGGCGATGATGCTGACAAACACACCTTCGGGTAATCACAAAGGAGCGCCAGCCTCTCCCGGGCCGTGTCCAGCGTGACTGAGATGGAAGATGACAGCCACGGGCTGGGAAGCGAGGCTGTTGCTCCGAGCCCATCACCAGACTCTCGTGCTCGCCTGTGCACACTGCCCCTGCCTACGAACGTGAGGCTCAAGGTCACCTGCCCACTCTGCCTTCTGCTCCCTGCTCGTGGAACATCAGTGGAAGCTCATTGAGTCCAGCAGTGCTTAGGTCTGGGAATTCAAAGATTATTAGCAATGATAATGATGGCCATTAATGGCTAATTATTGATTGATAGCCATTAATTATCAGTTATTAATTATTCATCATGACTCTTAAAGCTCATCATGACCAGGCACTGTGCCAAGACTTTTCTCTCCTTCCAGGGCTGTCCCAGGAGGTGGGGGGTGGGGTGGGCAGCGGGGCATGGGCATGTGGCAGAAGCTGGGCCTGTCCCCAGGCCTGAGGGTCTGCAGCAGAGTGAGCGCCTGCCCTTAGCTCAGTTCCAACAGGGGAGGTTGGGGAGGGAGCAGGGAGCCCAATCCCCAGGAGAAGGGCTCAGGAGGGTGAGAGGAGTGGGTGATGGAAGTAGCTTGTCACACCCCAATCTCAGGGTCTACCAGGTGGCCTGCCATCACCCCCCAACTCCACCTGACTGACGTGGGCATAAGGTTAAACCTTGGAGTATAGCTGGGCCTATGCCCACCCCTCAGGGAGCCCTTTCACAGGGCATCATTTCCACAAGGACCTCCCTCAGGTCTTCATTCTGGGGGCTTATAGGATGGGGAAGCTCTGGTGCCCCAGAACTCAAGAAGAGAACCTGGAAAAGATCCCTCTGTCCTGTCTTTGGGCGTCACTGCCAGGAGCCTTTGGCTTGGCTTCCTTCCCAGATTCCAAAGCCCCTTGGGTCATCGTGGTTCATTCCTTTTCTTTTCAAATGCACTGTGCTGTGTGATGGGGGCGGGGAGGGGGTGGTGGTTGGTGGCAATGGTGATATCAAGCTGCAGTGAGCCAGAAAGCTTCTTCAGATTTCTGGACCAGAATCCTTCCTCGGATTCCTGGACTAGAATCCCAGCCATCCTTGCGGGTAGAGGCTGAATCCTACCACAAATGGTCCTGTTGTTACAGTTAGAGCAGAGATGCAGAGAGATGGCTGCGGACCTGCATCTCCCTGGCTCCGGAACCCCCAGCTCCCAGCTTGTCAGCAGTACCTGAACTCTGACATTTGGCACCCTCCTGATTTTTTAATAAATGACAACTTAGCTGGTGGGCAGGAAGGGGGTAGTTTCTCTTAGAGCACAAATAGATTTTATTTATTAAAAGATGGTTGATGGACTCCAGTCTCTCTCCCTTAAATGGTGCCTTTTATTTTACAGCCTATCATTTCAGTCCCTGGGAGGTCCCTACTTTTCAAAGGGAAAGTGTCTGGCTCAGCTGCTGCAGAGTGCCGCTGCAGCAAAGCCAAGCCTGTAGTCCCAGAATAGACACCGTCTGTCCTCTATTGAGGCTTGGTTCAAGTCGATTTCATGTCTGTCTTTCCTTTGGGGGCACAGTTTATACCCCATCCACCCCATGAGACACTGGGGTGTCATGAGCGTGTCATTGAGGCCCATGTTTCAATCATCAACTTTCAGAAGCCCTGTTTGGTGGGCCTGTCCTCTGGACCTGGTCTTAAATAAATAAGTAACCTCCATGGGGTCCCCCTGAGGGTCCTCCTTGTGTCTTCAAGAAGCAGGTTACTTATTTCACAGTCTGCTTGGATGATAGGTGCTATCATGTCAGATATGATGCCTCATAAATCCAAGTCATCCGTCCTGGCTGCAGTTTTAATCTACTCAAACGTACTTAGCTGGGTTTAATTATAGACAGAAATTGCATTTCAGAAAGCAACAAGAAATCATTTACATGGCTTGAATTTGTGCATTAAATCACACGGTTCATTTGAGAGTGCGGTAGGAATGGCATTTCCAAAGAAAAATAATATTCGCGCCTGTGCTTAGTGGCTCTCACACCAATTGCACAAATTGTATGAATTGCACAATTTCCACTGACTGCATTTTTCTCCTTGGCGCAGGATGAGCGAGGAGGCTGGCGATGCTGAGAGGACCCGGCCGACGTCTGCACGGAGCGGGGCCAGGGATGTGCGCAGCAAAGTCTCGGGGGACGAGTCCACGTCTCCCCTCTTGCTCTGCCGCCCAAAGTACTGCCACTCCAGGGACGGTGAAGCGTGTGGCCCCTTGGGAAAGCCCACAGAGAGAGCAGGAACTCCATGTTCTTCCCTGGCTTCTCAAAGGACAGACATGTCCCCGCCGTCCAGGGAAAAGCTGCCGAGTCCTTCAGCGGCCCTGTCAGAGTTCGTGGAAGGGCTTCGAAGGAAGAGAGCCCAGAAAGCCTCAGGCTCGCCTCTGAGCCTGGAGGACTGGCCCACACTCCCCATCTACCAGACCACCAGGGCATCCACGCTGAGGAGGGCCAGGGCAGGCAGTGATCAGGGGGACCTCTCCCCAAGGTCTGGGGCAAAATCACCCCTGGAAACAGAGGGCGCCACTGGGGATTCAGCCGGCCTCCTGCGGTCCTCCAGCCTGAGATGCATCTCTTTGGAGAACATGGGGGGCACCAGCCCACCCCCAGAGAAGCTCAAGACCCGGTTCAGTTCCTGTGAGTCCCTCTTACAGTTGGGGCCGAGCTTGGGGAGAAAACTGAGCTCCCCGACCACGTCCAGGGACAAGTTATTGTCCCCAACACTGTGTCCTCGGAGGCGCTGCCTGGAGTCCTCGCTGGATGATGCAGGCTGTCCCGACCTCGGGAAGGAGCCGCTTGTCTTCCAGAACCGCCAGTTCGCCCACCTCATGGAGGAACCTCTGGACAGCGACCCATTTAGCTGGAAGCTCCCCAGCCTCAACTACGAACGCAAGACCAAAGTGGATTTCGACGACTTCCTCCCTGCCATCCGGAAGCCAGAGATGCCTACATCTTTGGCAGGAGCAGCCAAAGATGGACAAGACAGTTTGCAGCACCCAGGCGTCCACTTTGAGATAGAAGATGCGGACCGGACCTTCCTCTCAGGGATCAAGACCATTTTGAAAAAGATGCCTGAGGCCACCTCCGACTCCGACTCCTCCTCCAGCTCCTTCAAGAGCGCAGACAGCATCAAGAGCCGGCCCCGGATCCCTCGCCTGGAGGGTGATGGTGGTGAGCAAGCAGCCTTCGAGAACAGAGAGCCGGGAGCAGGGAGGAAAGAGGAGGATGTTGAGAGCATAATGAAGAAGTATCTGCAGAAGTAGGAGGCTGCCCAGGTAAATCCCCAGGCCAGACGGGGACGGTACGTCTCAGGGACTGAAAGCCAGCGAGAGCGCGGACGCAGGTCTGGCAGCCTGGAAGGAGCCACAGCTGCTACTGTCTTAAATGCTGTGACTCATTTTTCTAGAGACAAGCGTTTTTAGAAGTGTTAGCTGCAATACTGTGTGGCTGAATGCAATACTGTGTGGCTGAATACCAGAAGCCCTGTGCTCGGGACCGCCTGTTTCTTTGCACTGAACATGTAGACCCATCGGAAAGCAAAGAGGGTCCATGAGACAGGGCGAAAGAAGGTGCTGGACTTTTAAAATCCCCCACCCTAGGAGCCAACTCTTGATTTAAATATACAGAGAGAAATTGAGGATGAAATGGGGATGGAGGGACAGGGGGTGGAGAAAGGAGGGACTGAGTACAAAGGTCACGGAGCAGCCCTGTGGGGGAAGCAGCCCTTCTCGCGGCCTTCTTGCTACTCCCAGTCCTAATCCTGGCATCTCTGGAATAAAGGTAGGAAGAGGAATTCTTTGCAAATAATGGCTTAGTTTATGGAGTGTCTATCAGGTAGTCACTCAGTACCCACTGCGACCCCAAGAGGTGGTTTGGGCTATTTACTCCCATTTTACAGCTCGACAAACTGAGAATCAAGTGTTCAGCCCCTTGTGCTGGGATTGGCATTCCACAATCTTCACTGTCTGGATAACACACTGTGGTATTAGGTGCCTACTCCAGGCCCCTTCCTGAGCAACCTCACATTGATGGAGTTGGATCATTAGGTAGGCTGCCTCCATGGAGCCTCAGGACTGAGGTAGAAACATCAATCTGAAGGGGTGTTGGAACTCACAGCCTCAGTGTTGAGCAAGTGAGGGTGACCTCAAGATCAAGGTCGCTCGTCAACCCAAGCCACCCTGACTCCCAGTTCAGTGCTCTTTGCTCTGAGGCAGTGCTGCCCCCACAGCCCCTCCAGGCACCAGGCATTCCGCCTGAGGATCCCTGCTGACACACTAAGCCCTTCAGAGGGAGGTGTGGAACCTGCCTCGGGGTTCAGACACACTGCAGACCCAGCCCAGTAACCCCCACTGCCTTCACAAACTCCCTGTGCTGAATCTCACAACGTGTGGCAGCTCGAGGCTCACGTGTTGCCCGTGGGTGCTCAGCCCACACCTTGCCTCAGCCCCCAGCCCTCCTTCCAGCAGCCTCCAAGACAAATACCCTGGGCTTCTAAAGACCTGTTTCCTCGAGAGGCACCCCCAGCCCATCAAAAAGCCATTGCCACTTCCATGGAGATGGGCTTGGACTGTATTAGAGCAAATTAATTTGACTTAACATGGCCTTCTTTCTGCTCTCAATTACCGAGCAGAGATCTGATACTCATTTACATTATTCTGCTCTCGGGGGGACACGCAGGCAGTTTCAAAGGCCAAGTAAAGGGCACACGTCCACGAGGGGAAGGTCCTTAGCAGAAGGCATCACAGAACATCTTGTCTCTGCCACCTCTTTCACTCGCGGCCCCTGCCCCTCGCAGCCGTGCTCACCCGCTAAGAGCACTGCCTCCCCTCGACGTCCACGCTGGAGTCATGAACTAAACAAATAGTACAGCCCCACTCCCCGCGAGGCACGCATAGATGGGGTTTGGAACCAAATTGGCCCCCAAAGCTCAGTTCTGCCTTAGAACTGTCCTTGCAACAAAAGCCACACAGCCTTGCCAAGCCTGTGTCCTCAGCTGGGAAGTGAGGATAAAAATATAACTACCCAAAGTAACATCGGGTGTTGGATGTGAGAAGTGAATTTGAGGTCCTGGCACAGAGCCTGGCACCCAGTGGCTTCAGCAAACATCGCTTACCCGGCACTTAGAGGTTTTGGCCCTTCAGAACTCTGTGCCAAGTTTGCCCCCACTCGTTTCCCTCTGGCGCCTACACCCCTTCTTTCTTCCTGGCTTCTCCGCAGTAATGTCACCTGGGGAGAAGAGGCTCCAGGGCCTCTGCCCCCTTCTCTCTCCCCATCAAAGGGTACTCTTCTGCTTAGACCTGCGTTTGTTTGCAGCCTCTGGAGATGCACTACCCTCGAAGACTTCGGACTCCACAACTGTCTGGAGAGAGACAAGCAGGCCAGACCTCCGCTGGGGCCCTCAGTCCAGAGCAGCTAGCTGAGCCGCCCTCCAGAGGCCGGAGGGGCCCAGCAGAGGCACATCCGCAGGGATGTGCTCCCGGAGTGCTTGGTCTGTACAAAATAAAGTGTTGGCTCCCTGTCACCCATGCCCTCTCTGTTCTGTGTTCATGTTACCTGGGATGCCGGCGGGAGGGAAGAGGTACTGTTGGGATTAGGAGGGTACAGAGGAGTGACACCAACCCAAACTCTTTGTAGTTATGGGTACACGTTGATACTTTTCTCCCTACATGTCTACACATGGTGGATTTGTTCCTTTAAACTTGGCCACAGTTAGCGCAAGTATCATTTCCTCCAGGAAGCCTTCCTTGATACATCAAACTGAAATGAATACTATTCTCCTTTAACTGCCATATTTATCTCTATCACATTTCCCTTCTATTTATTTATCTATGTTGTGTGTATATATGTACAAGAATTCAACAAATTTGATAATGACACAATGAACAAATTAATGAATGCATGTGAAATACTGACATATCAATCCCTACAAGTGTCTACCCATAGCAACATTTAAGAACCCATGAACAGGGCTCTCAAACCTCTGTGACCTTCACATACACAATCCTGCCACACACAACTACGCTCACACAGGTACACCTAGAGCTTGCAGACACCTGCTTCTGCAAACATCCAATTATTAGTAATACTCAAACTATTGGTAATGTTTATTGATTGCATGCTATGTGCTGGCTGTTGTGTTAAGCCTTTTGTAAGGTTCATATCCCCTTTACAAAAACTTCTGAGAGCTAAATGCACATGTTACTCCTCATTTACAAAGGCAAAACTAGTTTATGCCCACATCTAGGTAGAGTGATACCTCTATTTAAATTCCTACTGGTAGAGACTCCATGTCCTACCCCAAATGTGCTCTATCTAGGACTGCTGTGGTGTAGCCCATCACAGGCTGGGATTTGAACCCAGGGCTCTGACACTAAACCCAGGCAGCCTAGGTAATGACACCATGGGCCACACTCAGTGGTGTAGACAGCCCTTTGCTACGAGGTCGGCTGGTCAAATGAGCCTGTGGATCTCATCACTTCACCTTCATCTCCCTCTGGCCAAACAAATGCATGCTCCATCCAGGGAATTATGGGGGCCCTATCTCTGGGAAGAAGCTTGGTTTACTCTTAACATTTTTTAGGTGTGACCTTGGGCAGTTCACTAACCCCTCTAGACCTTGGTTTCTTCTTGAGTAATAGGGCTAGGAAAGGACACCCACAATTTTCAAGCCTTTCTGACCTATAAAAGAACCAGAACAGGGTTATTACACCCATTTTACAGATGCAGAAACAGAGGGTCAGCAAGACCAACTGACTGGCCGAGTTAGCATTGAAGGCTGGTATCATGGTTAAGAGCTCTTGATTCCACCTACTGGTTCTCTTTCCAAGAAGGCCAGTCTTGTGTCCTGCTTGTTGGGCTACTCTGGGGAGAAGCTGGAGGGGGTGTTCTAACTCTGCCACAGGCATGGATCCTAAGTGGGAACCCAGCCCTAGCAAGCATTCACTTCTTTTGAGAGCTCTAATCTCAAGCAAGCTCCCTCAAAGATGGGGTTGGACAAAGGAATCGTTCTCCCAATGCCTAGCCTGCCTTCCCACCTTCGAAGGAACCCAATTTTATGCCTATTGGGTTGAGTGACTTACACCAAATTGCCATGCCAAGAGAAACCACCAGATGGATTTTAACATGTCCTTTCCAAAAAGAAAAGAGATCAGCAAAATTATTCTTGTTGCTAGTGGTTCATCGGGATGTGGGTGGCAGAGCTCATGGTCTATGGACTGATACCCTCCATGCCTACGCCTGGAACCCCCTGAGGATATTTGGAAGGAGGAAGCAAGCAGGGGCAGACAAGCAGGGGTGTCTCTGTGGCAAAGAGAAGACACTGCTGGCAGCATGGGGTCTTTTTGTACTTCCTCCTCAGGTTCTCAGTCTTCCCTGACGTTCAGGGGCAGTGGAGGCTCTGCCTTTACTTTTGCAACTCAGCTTGCTTATTGCCCCGTCAACTGTGAGATCCAGAACCCAGCTGTGGTCAATGCTAAGGAAATTCACTATACTATATGTATTCATAAAGCCCTTACTATATGTCATGACTGAAGATAAGGCAGTAACTAATACATAACACCCACACCCTCCCAGAATTCATGTACTAGGTGGAGGTAGGGACACATGGCAAACAAGTAAATTATGCTATGGGGGAGAAAACAGGAGTTGAGGAGGCCTTGAGAATGGTGAGGAGAATATTTTAGATAGAGAGGGAAGGGGGTAAGCCTCCTCGAGAAAGAGACATTTATATAAAGACCTGAAGAGACCAAGGGAGCCAGCCATGCCTATAACAGTGTATTATAGAAAGAGAGAACAGCCTGTGTAAAGGCCCTGTGGTGGGAGCCTGAATGGCAGGTTTGAACATCTGCAGGGAGGTCATCATGGCTGGAATGGATTGAGCAAATGTGGACAGAGAGGCGATGGGGTCAAACGATGTAGAACTATGTAAAGAGGTTGGCTTTAACTCAGGGTGAGATGGAAGCCATTTAGAGCCATTAACCAACGCTCCCACTTGGCCCAGGGAGAGCACCAAAGGCTTTCAGAGCTAAAACCAGGAAAGTAGCAGGCAAGTCAGGACACGATGTGATCTGAACCAGATTTATGAGGACCACCTGGCTTAGAGTTCTGGGGAGAGAATAGACTCCAAGGGACAAGAGCAGAGTCAGGGAGATCAGTTTGGAAGCCACTAATCCAGGTGAGGGATGAAGGTGGCTCAGACCAGATGGTGGAGGTGGTCAGAGGGGTGAGCTTTTGGATAGAACTAGAAGGCAGCGCCTACAGAAAGTTTCCATGAAAATGACAACCTGGCAGGTGACTCCCTGGCAGGTGACAAGCCCCGCTGCCCTGTGTAAGGGGAGAATTAGGTGCAACTCTGCCCTCTCTGGGGCTCCAGCCCACCTCACCATATTCCTGTGTGGGAGGGACCAAGAAGCAGTGGCTGCCTGCCCCTCTGAGCACCCTCCAGGTTGCAGCCATCGTGGCTCCATCCCGAGGATGCACAAGAGGCCAAACATGGTCCCCCTTCTTACAGATGAGGGCACGAAGGCAGAAAGTCATGTGCCCCTGGGAACCCAGCCTGTGGGGCTCAGAGCCTCCAGGGCACACCCTAGCAGGTGCCAGACAGGCCAGGGTTTCAATGCCATCCCCAGCTGCATGTGACTCACCTGGGCCTCTCCGAGCCTCCATTTTCTCACCTGTGAAAAAGACACGATGATGCTCGCTGACTTCGCCATCGTGTATGAAGAAGACGGTACGTGGGAGGCAGCATGGGGCATGGCCACAGTGCCCTCAGTCACGACAGCTTGTCCTCTTTGCCCTGGATCCTTCTCCTGGCCTCCCCACATGAGGTTTTTCTGAGCAAGTTAAAAGTTGTTCTTGAGGACTTTCCAGAAGCCCAGTGGAACCATTCTGTTCAGCCAAGTGGGGAATATTTACATCTTCTTTTCTAAAGGCAAACAATTTCCTCGAGATGCTGAATTAGTTCCCGAGCAGCCTCCAGGCTGTCTTGTAAATACATAGACATGAGTGTTAACGAAGTCCCCATTTGTCCAGCAAAGCAGAACAGAGATGCTTCAGGGCTGTGTCAGGACGGTGTTTCTCCCAGCTTTCCAAGTCCAGAAATGCCTTTCTTTCAAGTTATCTCTTTCTCTTCAAACACTCTCATCGGTCCATTCAAGAATTCATTCAACAAACATTAGCTGAGCACCAATTGTGTCCCAGGCACTGGGAACCAAGCAAGAGTAGGAGAGTTAGGGCAGGAATGGACACGGAGCAGGATCTCCATGACCCGAGCAGATGGGGTAAAGGAGGAGAGGGTCCTCAGTGAGTCCTGGAGTCCTTTGCCAGGCTTTTATTGGGATTTACCAGGTACACGGCTGGCAAGGAGTGCCAGCCTCCCAGCTCCCAGCAAGTCTTCACTCTATCTGGGCTCTCCAGCGTTCTCTGGTGGTCACTGCTCTCTTTCTCTGGTTCTGCTTCTGCTGGCGTCCCCATGACGCCGCCCTTATAAGTGCAGTATGAGCCCAGGTGTACCCACTTACGCATGCCCATACCCGACTCCAGGTGCCCGCCATCAGGCATGCATTCAGGACCGCAAGGATCCATCATCTATCCTAATGGCAGGAGGGCAGAAAAGCCTGATACTTTTTATTTACCCTACAAGGTAGCATCCAGCCCTCATGGTGCATACAGTCCAGAGACTCCAAGACAAACGCTGAAGAGTCAAACACAGCACCTGGTACATAAAAACGAATCAACAGTAAAGACAATAATAATAGCTTCGGTTTATTGGCATGACCAGATGAGCTAAATCCCGAATTTTCCAGGTCCCCCTGGTGGTGGGTGGGGTCTTCAGGGCTGGGCTCAAACCCCCTGGATGAGCAGCTGAACCGCATCAGTGTCTGAACTCTGCTCCTGACTTCCTGAGCAAGGGGGCTGCTGGGAAGGGAGCAGAGCTGATCAGCCTTTGAGGAGTCTTAAAAGGGGGTGATGCAGGCGGGCTTGTTCTCTTTCATCTGAGCTGGACGGTGGCCCCTCTGGGAGGGGCAAAACTCTCCCTCTCCCACCCACCCTGCAGGCTCCTGTAGCTGCAGCTCCCCTCACGCCACCCGTGGGGAACTGGGCCTTCTCCTTCTATGCTGTTATTTAGTATAAATGATTCTTTTTCCCTTTTTTGCTTCAGCAAAGGACATTTTGTTTGCATTTTGATGGCAAGTGGCTGGGCCCTGAGGCAGAGGCTCTGACCTAGTGACCATTTTTAGACCCTTTTCCCAATAAGAGTTTCATTTTTCTCTTTTAATTCAGGTCAACTTTATATACAGTGAAATGCTCTGATCTAAGTGTGCTGTTCAATTTATTTTGAGAACTACCTCTCAAGACTGATTATCCAGTCACCTCAGAAAGTTTCCTGAAGTCCCTTCCCGGGCAAATCTTCTTCCTCTCCCCCAAGTAAACACTGTCCTGATTTG